TGCCGGTGGCGACACGACACCTCATGCAGCAGCCAAGGACTAAGTTGACCCAGCGGGATGTTCCAAGTATGGAGTGTACTCGGTTTTGTTTGCGACCCAAATCTCAGCACCCTAGTGAAACGCCGGAAACTGGTATTTGTAATGATAAAACGGTTAACCCCTTCATCGTTACCTCAACGGTTACCCAGTAAGTAAAGACCGACCACTTGCCTTATTGCGGCACCGTGTTCACCAACTCTGATAATCCAATCTTCGGCAACGACAAAGTCGCACATTACAACACGCCCAACTATGGTTCGTAAATTACCATAGAATGCGACTTTCTCTGTATCCTCGAGATCCAGTGTTGAGGTGTGTACTGCAATAACTGGTATAAGCAACAGTACTTCAAAGACTCAGAGGTGGGAGCCTCGGTGGAAGGGAAGGTTTGCCTTGACGACTGAAAATAATCGCAGTCCCATTTATACCAGTTGTCAGTGGCACCGTTTTCATAGAGATTGGGGTATTTCGAAGCAGCTGGACCCTAAATGGCGCATAAACCATGATCTTGCAGGTACATCCAAGAGAGGGGAAACGTCTGCATTGTACTACGCCAACGACCGCACAGTTAGGTACTCCGTTGTCCGCGCAAAATAAATCCGCAAATTCCAGTATATGCTGCGTCGTCCCGCCCAAAAATGTCAACTCGATGGTTTGCCACAGAATTTACTGGCACAGATTCGAGTGCCGTAACGTGAGACGGTAATCATGACAGATGAGTTCAAATCTCATGAACGATTTGAGGCTTGGCACAATGTAATCTTCTATTCCTCAAGTGAGTTCTTGGGCGGACGCCCAGCCCACAAGCCGATGACGATAAGAAAGATTCGTTAATCACAACTCATACTCGCTAGATCACAATACTGTCACTGGACTCTGGGATTTCGTAGGGTCGTCTGCTTGCGAGACTTAAATACCTCCCAGCCTAGTAAGAGTGCCATTGTTATTTGGCGAACATTTCCCGCTAGAGACAAACCTGCACGGCCCACAACCAGCCTTTACTGAAAGTCGACCCCTTAACGGCGTGTAGTTGACAGCAAAGCCGAGAGGAGGAATCTGTCAACCCGCACCTGTCTCTACTCCGTCAATAAACGACGCCCTTGATAATAAAAAAAGCGCTAAACGGTGGAATGAAGGAATGAAATGGGAGATAAAGATTTTTGGCGACAGAGTTGAGATGGAAATGAAGAACACGACTGACCAACTCGAAAATCCCCTCCTGGTTGCGCTCTTGACGAACAATCTGGTGGACTAATTTGAGGACATTGGGTGATAAGGTGTCCACTAGCTTCGGGTCCAGAGATATCAGTATTTCCATCATAGCTGGTGCTATTTTAAATCCTTCCACCGCCCTTAGCTGTTTGATAACTTCTAAAGCCTATCCACTGTGAACGAAGATTACGTCTTACCTGTTGCTTGGCACTTTTCTTTGGTTGCAAATTTATGTGACAGTCCTTCATCATTTTTTCGATCATGGTGACGGTAAAGGCCCGGTTAGTTTCAGAATTTATACACTTTTCCGAAACTATCTTGGCAACATCCCTATACATATTTTGGTTTTCTATTTTTCTTTCCTTTCCTGTGAACTGAATGTCGCCGTCGCTCAAAATCTAGAAAAACAATAAGGGCCCAGCGGCTCAACAAACTTGATGCAGAACGACATTAATATCGTCGGTATCAAAATCTCGAAGGATATCCGACTTGGTTGCAAGCTGACCCTTAGACACATTCGAAAAAATTTCCTGGGTCTGAAGAACTTCGTCTATGTTTTTTTCTCTGTCTTTAGGACAAAATATGTTAAAATAACTTACAGATTTTCTCGCCAAGCATGGACTTTGTTTGGATAGCAGGCTATTTCGTACCTGTTTCCATTTTTTTTAAGTCGCACAACGGAGACGTTGGTAAGACGTTTTTGATTGATCGGTGTGAAGATGGACATGGATGTGAAGACAGTTTAGTTTTCAAACAACTCCAGTTTTGCGGCAACAAAGATCCGGAGCACAACTAAAAACTCGTTTCAAAACAGTTGAGGAATAAGGAGTGGGGATATTACTATAGGTCCAGTAACCCCTAGGTAACTGAAAAATGCATAAATTTATTGAAGAATAAAGACGCCCGAAGGTAAAAGTTAACACAGTACGACGCAGAAAAAATTCTTTCGCTCAGAAGTGAAGTGCAAAGCATATGCAAGATTCACAAAAACGGCAGGCCTGACTAGACGGTCAACAGCAACTCGTGGTGACACAGCAAGAAACTGCCACCATTCGGGGAATTCTGTCCAGAATAACTTAAAGACAGTGAGGGTTCATTTAAAATACTTTTTGTCCCAGAAGAGTGGGGTTCCGTCATGAAAAAAAGTAAATACACGCGCCTGACGTTTCAAATGACAGTGCTGACCATCCATCTTTAGAGGCTGGTGTCCCCCTCTGCAGAGCTCCCATTATAAAGTACACGGGTAACGATTTTCATCGCACCTGAGTCTCGGGTGGGGCTTCGTTAGTCAAAAACACCTGCCGGCAACCGGCGCCAGCGGATGCGTGCAAACATTAACCAACCAGGGTTCACGTATGGCTAAGCGCAACTCACGTACCTTATAATACGACCTGCGCAGAGGACATACTAGTCTCCCCAGATGGGTACCTAAAAAGCTTTACACTTCTTGCACTCTCCGTCCCCTACTCTCCTGGTGAATGCCTTCTCCTCTTCTAATAATTTGTCTTTTTATATCGATGGTTCTCGACGAACGGTTCTTTTATCATGGAAGCTATTGTAATGTGAAAAATTCAACTATGAATTGAGAGGAAACCGAAGCTTCTATTGTCTTATCTGGGCTGCCCAAGAGAATTAGCCGACACTTGGCTAGTTGGCTCATGAATACGGCGGAATGAGCGCCCGAGTAAAAAAACTGCTAGGCAGCTAAATAGCGAAGAAACCTCTTTGCACGTGGTCCCTGGTGGACGCTGAGTCCCCTGTAGGCAGATATCTCTTTGGGAGCCCGCATGGCCCTTAGGAATATCTTTGCGACAGCGCGACTTTAAAACCGTGCAGTCTGCCCTATTAATGGATACCGGGCACATACTTTCATCTGGATGTAGCTATTCTGGAGAAAACAGATCCGGAAAATCAAGATATCAAGCATGTGTTCGCGAGGCCTGTTTGGAGGTATACACGTTTATTCTGTACTATGTAAAAATGCCTAGTCTACAAAGCCCTGCAAAAAACACGGTTATTCTGTGGACGTCGCTCCAAAGTCTAGCCAACCTGTCTCCCCACCACCGACTTAAGCACATCGTCGGCCCCTACTAAAAAGGGTCATTGATGTTCCAGTGCTAAGAGGTGGCGCACTTTAGCTTGTGGCTATACCGTGGGATTAGTCCACAGTGTTCTTCTGCCCTGAGAAAACTAAGGAGGTAAAAAAAGAATGTCTGAACCGTCATACAATTGGACTCGCCGCGACATAAACCCATCTTACTCTTGGTAGTCACTACAACGACTCAGAGGCCCAAAGTCGACACAAGTCATACTGAAATTTCGTTCTAGGAGGGGGGGGGGGGAGGGCAAGTCATTTAAAAAATCGCCCGCCAAAAAACAAACGAGTGACTAAGACGATATTTCATCGAAACGACTAGCATGAATCAAGAGTTTGGGACTTGGCAACGAACAACGACAGACGAGACTACGTAGACTTCGCGAGATGGGATACAAATTAACAAACGGTTTTACCAGGCAAAGTAAGCACAACAAAGGCCCTCTGGCCCGCCTTGTATGGGGGGTAATAAAAAAACGCGATATGCGGACGGATTTCATGGCGCTGCATAGTGATTGGTCAAACATTTTCATGGGAGTTGCGACGGCTACCGGGATTATTCTTGAGTTTAGATTTTGTAAAATTATCTTTAAATGATACTTTCAATAACTGAGAGACCCGCAAGATGTGATTAAGAAAGTCTGTCAAGTAAGAAAATTAGTCAAATAATAAACTATTATATAAATGCTCTAAACCGCGCCTTTCGAATTCGGTTTGAAATTTTCGAGCTCCGACGGATTTGCCTTTCCCGAGTTTTCTGCCGACCGGACGCTCCGAGGGCCCATTTGGATTAAGAAACTGGACTGTAAACAACAATTACTCGATCCACGCGGAACTTCGACAGGTTTTTCTCTGGGACAACCATTCTCTTTCGGACTAATTCTTTGCCAACAGCCCCGCGGGATCCCCCATTTCAAAAACGGCTGAGTCGCTTATTACTTGCTGCATATCGTTTCCTACCTGCTTCGTATCGTTCGTCTGGTTAAACAGCTCTTCGAACATCCTTAAAAACTCCTCCAGTTTATATCCGTGAAAATGGTAGTCGAACAAGTGCCTTCGGGATGTTTCTCAAAAAGTACGCCCCAAGTGGGATTCGAAGCCAGTCAAGGAGGTGACGAGGGCGGCGTCGTTACCAATGGACCACAGACGCGCAGCAGACGAGCTAAAAATAATGATGTAATAAACAACGCACATTTTCTAAATGAATATAACATCGGCTTCCCCATAAATCAAATCTTCTGCCAAACGGGCCAGGAGTTTAGTAACCTTAATGGATGTCAACTATTAGAACGAACATAAAACACATGTGGCGTGTTTCAGACTTCTCCAGAAAGTTTTGGAGATGGAGAACGAGGTAAAAGACCTAAAAATAGACATGGAGAAGTTGACGAAACTTCCTCGCCATTCACCCGTAAAGAGAAAGTCGGCGATATCAGACCCTCAGAAAACAAAGAGAACATATTCAAGCACAGTATCATAAACTGGATCAGCCGCCAAGGAAGAAGACTGCCCGTCTAAGGAAGAAATCACAACTGAGAACCGACCTCCTGTGCAAGAAAAGAACGACAGAGAGGGATCTCAGGAAAAGCGGAAGCGCCCCGGGGCATCCCGAAAAGAAAAAGCAGGTCAGACTGTTCGTACGAGAGAGCAGAGTCCACACACAATGCCAGCAAATACCACACTGCCGAAGGATGTATTGCACGACTCGGTTGGTGAGGAACTCTGTGGTAGCTACGTCATCACAGCTGCCTCTGAGTCAAACGATGACAACGGAAATTGGCAAAATTCTGAACGTGCGTGTAAAAATAAACGTATGAGCTCTCTTCCAAACAGGCATCTCTACTGAAAACGAAACATCGTCATAAAGGCAGCTCTTGAGTCCGATTCTCCGACTGCAAAAGAAAGAATCGAACACGATCTCAACCTCTTTCAAACATATTCAAATGCCGTCCTTCAGGACGGAGAGTGTGTTACCGTGCACAAAGCTTTCCGTCTAGGAAACGCAGATGCGTCGCGTGCATTACCAAGGCCTCTTAAAATTATTCTTGCAAATGAAGCCCAGGCCTCGCATCTCTTAGAAGGAAGGATGGCCCTTCGTCATTCGCATAAGGAAGTGTTTTTTTCAGCCGGATTACGAACCGACAGAAAGGCACAAGATGAGGGAGCTCTGGACAGAACTGAAAAGAAGGACAGAAGAGGGGGAGAAGGGGTTGAAAATAAAGGAAGGCAAGACAATACAGATCAAACGATCGTTCCTGTGGCTAATCCCATTTGCAATCAGGGCCAGTTCCCCCGGAGAAGACGGACACTAAAGGTGCTGTATTCGAATGTGCAGAACCTGTTTAACAAGATGGATGAACTCGGGACTCTGATCGACGAGCACACGCCAGATATGATCGCCTTGACAGAAACGTGGCTTTCTGAAGCTCTTGGAGACCACGAGGTATCCCTCAGAGGCTACCAACTGTTCAGAAGAGACAGGAGAAGCCGAGGAGGAGGGGTCGCTGTCCATGTTAGCTACAACCTAACCGCGGTCCCTGAGCATAATCCAACAACAACAGCGGAAGTGGAATTCTTACCTTTAACTATCTCCACGAAATACGCCAGGCCGCTGGCGTTTGCAGTTGTGTATCGTCCCCCAAACCAGATTACTGAACACGATAGCCTTCTTCTAAGGGAACTGAACAAGACCTGCTCGAACAGAGACGTCTTTATTGTCGGGGACTTTAACGCCCCCAATATCGACTGGCAAGCTTGGACGGTTTCGGGTCCATCGAACACATTCGGACAACATTTGCTTGAATTGGCAGCAGGAAAACCACTTTTCCAGAATGTAGCTCTCGGAACGCGTGTTAGGGAAGGGCAACGTTCAAATTGCCTCGACCTGGTGCTCACTCGAGATGAGGAGAGTGTGCTGGATATGCAGGATCTCCCGCCAATTGGTGCTATTGATCATATTGTGATGCTCTTCGAGTATTCCTTGTTCTCCCAGCCTAATTCACCTGAACAATTACAAAGAAATATCTGGAAAGGGGATTTTTCTAGCATTCGAACGCAAGTCTCAGCAATACCGTGGACTACCACATTGCAGGAAACAGTTAATGACTATTGGAACACGTTCAGCTCACTGGTCAAAAGAATCGTTGATCTGAACTGTCCACTCAGACGAAAGAAAACAACCAACCGTCCGCCGTGGATAAACCGGAAACTTCAAACCGCGTTTAAGAGGAGAAACAAAGTGTGGAGACGCTACCGACAAACAGACAGTTCTGAAGATCTGAAGGAATATAAACGACAGCGGAATGCGTGTATACGCGAGGCTCATAGACTTCGAAGCCACTATGAGCTGCGCATATTGCAAAAGTCCTTGGAGCATCCTAAAATCCTCTATAGTTACATACGTAATTGATAGAGCAATCGTGAACCGATTCCAGCGCTAAGATCCCAAAACGGAGTAATTGAGACAGACGACCACCTGAAAGCATCAGTCTTCTCCAATTTCTTTCAGTCGGTATTCACTCATGAAACAAACCCTCCTGCCATGCCTTACGTAGACCGACGACCAAATCCTTCCTGTCCTGCATTGGAAGACAATCCTTTCATTTCTCACCCACGTTGATAAGGACCAAAAT